GTCTTTCTGTCTGTCTGTCTGTCTGTCTGTCTGTCTGTCTGTCTATCTATCTGTCGGTCCGTCCGTCCGTCCGTCCGTCCGTCTAGCCGTTTAAATATCTATCTATCCATTCATTAGTCCATCCATTTATCTATCTTTCTGATTATCTATGCTAACTTTTAAACAAGACATTTTGTATTGACACTTGCCTTTTCTATTTCCTTATTTGTTCCTTCTGGTTTTTCACTGGGACGTGTTTATGTGTGATTTACACCTGCTTTGCTGTAAGTGTGTGTGTGTCTGTGCATGTGTGTGAGTGCGTGCGTGCATGCGTGCATGCGTGAGTGATGGAGTGTGTGTGTGTGTGTGTGTGTGTGTGTGTGTGTGTGTGTGTGTGTGTGTGTGTGAGATGAGCAGGAGCACAAAGACGAGCTGTTTGGAACAAGCAGAATGGAGAGCGCTGGGCGACAGACGGGATGAAAACTACCGTCTTCTGCTTTAGTTTCCTGGCAACTCCTTTCCACTAAAAAGCAGCATGAGCTCTCAGTGTCTGGCAGCGCCGAAAAACACTCGCTCTTTTATATTTGCTTTCAACAGTCAATCAAAGTTATAAAACTCTAAAAAAAACATCTCTAAAACAGGCTATCATTCACCCCTAAACACTAATCACAATATAACATCTGAGCAGAGATAAATAAAACAGCACTGAATGTCCGTCTGAGTAAAACACAATATTTTAAATGCTTCTTTATTCCTTGTTGTTGCCATTGTCTGCACTACATTAAAGGAATAGTTCAGCCAAAAATGAAAATGTGCTGGAAATGCGCTCACTCTCAGGCCATCCAAGATTAGGATGAGTTTGTTTCTTCATCAGGTTTGTAGAAATGTAGCACTGCATCAGTGTCTCAGCAATGGATGCTCTGCAGTGAATGGGTGCCGTCAGAATGAGAGTCCAAACAGCTGATAAAAACATCACAATAATCCACAAGTAATCCACACCACTCCAGTCCATCAGTTAACATCTGGAGAAGACAAAAGCTGAAACACATCCAGCATTAAGATGCTTTTAACTCAAATACGAGTCCATAATCTATAATAACGCTTCCTGCAGTGAAAAAGTGCATCACCTGTCATCTCTTATGGAAGCGTTATTATGAATTATGGACTCGTATTTGAGTTAAATCTTGAGTGATCTTGGATTGGCCTGAGGGTGAGTACATTTCGAGCACATTTTCATTAAACTATTCGTTTAAGAGTAACCCACATTAATTTACTATGTTGACAAATAGCCTGCACAGCCTTTCCAGAAAAGGAAAGTGGTTTTAGATTTGAATGACGGATTGTTTTGATGAATGATTGATCAGTTATTTATTTTTCATGTTGATGACAGGAGGCAGTCTTACCTTTGTTGTCATCCTTTGATGTCACTTCCTGTGTGTCTCGTCTCCAGCACGTCTCCTCTAGGTTTTGTCCATCTGCTGTTTCTCTGTATTTAAGCTCATTTACTTTGCAGCATTCCGGTTCTTTCTTCATCTTGTCCAGCTGGTTCTCCGGTCGATCTGAAGGACAGAGGTTTGCACTGTGGTCAAGATGAGCCTTTGCCTCGCTGGACAAACGCTGTCTGGCGCTCTGGAGTGATGCTGCTGCCCTTTCCACCGCCTTTGAGGAGGACTGTTCATCAGAGACGCTGAGAGAGAGAGAGTAAAACAACACAAGCTCTGTAAGACAGAACATTACACAGCTCAAAACATCTGAGCAAAGCCAATGAATACATAAAAACAGCACAGCACAGTGCAAACGCTCACAGAAGAGCAGATAACACAACATTGTCCAGTAAAATGTCTAAACGTCTAAAGCCAGTGCAAAAGTAGAAAATAAAACAATGGATAAAAACAAAACAAACCAACATATTATTTATAATGTTTTTAATTCATCTTAGATATTTTGACAAGAAAACATGACAAAAAACATATTTTAGAAAAATAAATAAATAAATAAAATAAACCAACCAGTACTTTTGCACTGTTTTCCAGTAAAATATCTAAACATCAAAAGCTAACGAAATAGGTTTAACTAAATTAAAAAAAAATCCACCAATGGATTTAAATAAACTTAATTCAAAATATATTAAACATTACAGTTTTTCTTTTTAAGTAAATGTCTTATTTTAAGGATTTTATGTTTAAGGATATTTTTACTAAAACCCTGACAGAAATATAGATTATGAAATTATTGTTCTGCACTACAGACACAGAAAGCAACACAAAACAATAATAAACCGTCTCCTAACTAAAATCTGCCAATAAATAAAAATAAAAAAAAACTTGAAGATATTATATGTATCCTGTTTTATGAATGTTTAGGGAAAAAACAGATTAAGAAAATTATTTTTTGTAGCACAGATACAGAAAGCAAGACAAAACAAAAATAAAAAATGTACTAACTAAATAAATAAAATAAAATAAAAAAAACACAATTCATATCTTACATGATTTTGCTTCTTAAGTAGACTTATCTTATAAAAGCACAACAAAAACACAAATTATACAAATTTAATCTATTATACAAATCAAGTTTTTATTTTTATTTTTTTTGCCCTACAGATACAGAAAACAAAGCAAAAATAATAAACTAAATAAAATTTGGAAAAAAATAAACCCACTTAATTCAAAGATACCTTATTTTACACGGTTTTGCTTCTTCAGTAGATTTATCTATGTTTTGGGATGTGTAGAAAAAAAACAAAATACAGTTTAAGAATTATTATTATTATTATTATTTTGCAGTACAGATACATAAATGCATACATAAACAAACAAACAAACCTTCTACTAACTAAAATAAAATAAAAAATAAATAAATTCCTGCATTGCATAAAAAACACTAAATACAAGACACATTATCTTACACAGCTTGGCTTCTTAAGTAGACATATCTTGCGTTAAGGACGTTGGAGGAAAAAAACAACAACAAAAATACAGTTTAAGAATTTTTTTTTTGCAGTACAGACACATATTTCAATCCAAACATTAAAAAAAAAAAAAATAAATAAAAAAAATACTAAACCAGTTTTTTTTTTCTGCCAAAACACCTACCAGAGAACTGCAGAATGGTTCCTTTATGCTTCACCAGAGCACCGTGAGTTATAAAAACCCGTCTTTTGATCGGAGACACGCTGACGCTCCAGCTCACCTGCGCCGGCGTTTAACCCCTCGTGCCCCGAGCAGAGCGCATCTGTAACATCCCGAGCCGTTCCAGCGCTGCCGTCTGGCTCCTCACAGCCGCGGATCAGACAGCATGTGACCGCTGTGAGAAAGACTCTATTGTGTGTCTCTGGCTTCATGTGACGCTGTCGGAGCCAGAGGTGAGCGCTGTATCTGTGCCTGATCTGGAGGACTCTCGAGGACTCCAAGCGTCCACTTTAGGACCGTCTGTTTCCAGAGGGACCAACAGCTTTTCCTGAAATTATTCTGGCCTGATTACTGATGACGAGTGGAGCGGAAGTGGACATATGTTTGTGTCTCGAGGGTTTCTTGAGAAGGTCTCATGTGAATGAAACTCAAATTCAAAGCTACAGGCGTTTCTGCATTTCAGAAAAACAAACCTGTATGTGAGCTGTTCAATAATGATCATTCATTCATTAATTCATTCATTCATTCATTCATTCATCCATCCATTCGCTCATTCATTAATTCATTCATGCATTCATTCATTCAGTCATTCATGCATCCTTTCATGCATTAATTAATTAATCAATCAATTAATTCATTCATTCATTCATTCATTCATTCATTCATTCACTCACTCATTAATTAATTTATTCATGCATTCATTTATTCATTCATGCATCCTTTCATGGATTCATTTATTCATGCATTCATTCATGCATGTATTTTTATTTATTTGTTTTGTGCCTTGCAATCTGTATAATACAAATATTTTAATCTATATTTCTGTTGTTTTTTAACATCTCTAAAAGCAAGATAAATCTACTTAAGAAGCAAAACTGTAGGATAATGTGTCTTGAATGAAGAGTTTTGTAAATTAATTGGCAGATTTTATTTATTTAGGAGACCATTTATTTATTTATTTATTATTTTTTTTGCTTTTCTCTCTGTATCTGTACTACAAAAACGTATGTTCTTAATCTGCATTATTCTTGTGTTTTTTTTTTTTCTAAACATCCTTAAAACAAGTTAAATCTACTTAAAAAGAAACAAAACTGTGTAAGGTTCACTGGCAGATTTTATTTAATTAACTGGCAAACATTTTTTTCTTGTTTTCTGCCTCTGTAATGGATTTATTTTTTTCTTAATCTGTATTTTTCTCATGTCTTTCTTACGGAAGCGCCCACGCTGGAGGACAAGCAATAATAAAAAAATAAAACCATCTCGAGATTAAAGTCGTTAAATTTCAAGAAAAAAGTCGAGATAAAATGTTGAGATTAAACTAATTAAATTTAGAGAATAAACTCGTTATGTTTCGAGAAAAAGACTCATTAAATTTCGAGAAAAAAAGTCGAAATAAAATGTTGAGAATAAACTCATTAAATAACCAGAAAAAAGTCATTACATTTCGAGAAAAAAACTCGTAAACTTTCAAGAAAAAGTCGAAATAAAATGTTGAGAATAAACTCATTAAATTACGAGAAAAAAATAGTTAAATTGCGAGAAAAAAATCATAAAATTTCGAGAAAAAAAGTCAAGAATAAACACACTCATGTCATGTTCATTTCATCGCGTTGGACGGTGTTATTTAGCGTCTGCAGTGGGGTGGGTCGGAGAGTAATGCACTGGGGAGTAGCGACTGATACGATCCACTGGGATCGAGTCCGTCTTTTGACAAACTCGCTTTTCTTTCTTTTCTCATCAAATATCACATCAGAAAATTGGAAATCAATTGCTTAACGAGTGTTTAATAATAATGTATTAATTAGGTAAGTTTAGTGTTACTACGGTAAATTCATTGTAAATATTAATTTGTGGATTGAAAAGTATTCTAACTGGATTGTTGTCACATGGTGTTTCTCCTGTTTTCCGCGTCAGTGTTGTTTCATCTGCCTTTAAACTAGTTTAAATCACTGTGACATCTGTGGTTTGTATAGGAGAGCTCAGCTCCAAACTCGAACGCTTCTCAAAGCACTGTTTAGTGGTCGCCTGATCGAGACCTGCGAGTAAACGCATTTGTTCTGAGCTCGCGCTACGCTATCTTTAGACAGCGCTAAATATGATCCGTTCAGCACGCTTCACACGAGTAGCACTCTTCCGATTTCGATGCGCTAAAGAAATTACAGCGCATATGAGTTATCAAATTGTTGTCACTCACGTTTTACTGATACATCTGGCCTAAAATTTAGTGCTGTCACCTTGTGTTGACATTGTGAAACTGCATGATTTGTAAATTATGATTGGCGGGCCACATATAATAGCCTACATTTTAATAGACAAGCCATTTGAAATTCATCCACGAGCCGTATTTGGCCCGCGGCCAGACTTTGGACACCCCTGCCAGTTGCTATTTACAGTTATATGTATTATTTACACTAAGTGACAACAGCAGCATTTTAGATATGTGCTATTTACACTAAGTGAAAATAGCCATTATATTTACGTTATGTAAAAGCAGCAGATATTTGCAATAAGTGTAAATAGTAGATAGCAATCACAGATTCTAGCACGTCTTGGAATATATGAACCAAATTATGAATTTTCACTGTATATTGTCATCTGAATGAGTAAGTAACAAGTCTGGCACTTTTGTTCTGACCAACTGAGGAAAAAAGCATTACAATAAATTGCGCTACCAATGGTGATTTAATCTAAAGATCGGTTAGCTCATATCACATCAAACTGTGCAAATTATTATTATACTTTATTCACAAATTATTAATGTTAACAACATCAGCATTGCGTCACTATGTGTGTATTAGTGTGTAGATTTCAATTTCTGTACGGTCTAATATCTAATTGTCATACCATTCGAATTTCATATTAAGAATTTAATATTAAGAAACCTTTTAACCCAAAAAGCAAACTATGCTCCCTTCGAACTGGTTGTCTTTAAAATACAAATCTTGTGTAATCCCAGGCTATCTGTAATCAGAAGCATATTTAAAACTGGAATATAAATTAATTTTAATCACATGTGTTTCATAAACACATAATCCTTTCTGGATTACAATCCGCCATCATTTAATTATTACAGCTGCTGTGAGAAAAGGCTTTAAACGATCCGCCACCTGCAGGATCCTCACATGCGATAGCCTAGTAGCCGGGACAACTTCTTTATGTTTACAGACGTGATGTAATGACGCGGCAGCATGCTCGAATTTCCCGCGAAAACCTACCCGTACCACTCAAACTAGAAAATATTATTATAAGCTAACCGTTGTGAATCGGGCTAAAGTAAGGCGATAGTTTTGAACACTGGCTGTTTATGTACTTGCTCAAATATTGATTTCGGATAATTTTTAACCAAAAAAAAGTTGCGGACTGTAGCTTTAAGCAATTGATTTCCACTTTTAAAAGGACGAAAAGCGAGTTTATTCTCAACATTTTTTTTCAACTTTTTTTCTCGAAATTTAATGATTTTTTTTCTCCAAATTTGACTTTTTTCTCGTAATTTAATGAGTTTATTCTCAATATTTTGACTTTTTTTCTCGAAATTTAACGAATTTTTTTCTCGAAATTTAACAACTTTTTTCTCATAATTTAATGAGTTTATTCTCAACATTTTATTTTGACTTTTTTTCTCAAAATTTAACAAGTTTTTTTTTCCAAATTTAACAAGTTTTTCTCAAAATTTAACAACTTTTTAATGGTAATTTAATGAGTTTATACTCAACATGTTATTTCGACTTTTTCCTCGAAATATAACGATTTTAATCTCGAGATGGTTTAAATTTTTTTTTTTATTATTTCTTGGCCCTAATCCTCTTCAGTAGGATACTCCACCCATAAATGTACATCCTTGAAAGCACACAGTTTTCTAGCGTTTTCTTTAACTTCTCAGGTAATATCAATGGTATGACCTATTTCAGATGGGCCTAAATTACAACAACAATGGTTACATAGGCACACATATAGGCCAATTTAATTGTTTGATCAAAATGATTGCTAAAGATAATTTAGTAGTCGCTGGATATTGGTAGGGACATGTCTCTAGTGTCCCTACTAAATTATATGCCCTTGATTGGTGAGCAAGTGATGTAGCCTAATACATTTCTCTAAATATGTTCTGATGAAGAAACAAACTCATCTACGTCTATCATTTTTTGACATTGTCAGGCTGGCCGCAGTTCGCCCAAAAATGAAAATGAAAA